TCTTGGTAAATTTCATAAGTAATCTTTTCTTTGTCTAAATATGTTTGCAAAGATTTGGTATCTGCTAATTTAAAAATATAAGGAGCAATTTTTTCACCTTGTTCTTTCTTCAAAATACTTCTAATAGTACTATAATTCTTTGGTTCCATAGTAGACCTAATGTAAATGAGTTTCATATTAACTATTTTTGTCTAGACAAATATCATGATCACATTACATTGTGATATTAAACAAACACTATTGATCCCCGAAATCCTTTGTAATACCAATGTTCACTTTGTCTGGTTTTGTTGCAGCATGCCCCATATATATTTTTAGTAGAAAAATTTTTTAGGTTATATTTTCCACTTAAGCAAGTCAATGAATAAGAAAATGCTTACTGAAATCAAGACAAATTAAAAAGGTCGCACCTGGAGCTATTTTGATATGATGTTCTCCATATTCTTCTGCAGGTTTTATAAAGTAATTATTTATTGAAGAGAACTGCCTGCACTAGATAGTTGAAAAGGCAAACAAAAATTTGCATTTTCTTCATCTGAATAACCAAATTAAATAATATCATGCAACTTTCAATTCCAATAATTATTACCATCACCATCATCACCATCATCACCATCACCATTCTCATTCTCATTATTATATGATAAATTGAAATGCCCATTTTTTAATTATTCATCTGATTTTCAACTTTGATTTGTAAATGAAATGCTAATTAATACCTGAAGCCATCATTAGATTGATCATGAAAGAAGTTACAAGGCTACTGATTATAAATAACTGATGGTCATGAAGATTAAAATGGGTAAATTTGCTTCAGTAAGTAATACAAATGTATGGTGATTGACAAGTAAAAATTAAGATTAAACATATTCCATTTAGAAAAAATTTATAAATACTTTTATCAACTAGACAATTGCATATAATTATCATTTCATTTTTTATAATAATTTCAACATTTTAATATAATAAATCATTGCAATAATAATAATATAACTTTTATTTGCTGAATTTCTTTCTTTTTGACCCTCTATATTTTTTATTATAACTTATTTCTTCAGGTTTATCATCATTATCATAATTGTCTTGGCTGACTAATTCTTCCCCAGAATCCTCCTCATTATCATCAAAATATTTTTTCTAAAAAATAAATTTATTAATTAATTTAAACACTCATTTATTCACCTGATAACCATTTTTTTAATAAATCAATTAACAAAACTTACTTCATCACTAATGTCTTTACAAGGTAACTCAAATCCTAATTTAATTCCATCCAATAACTCATCCAACCCATCATCAATAAATGCTTTGGGTAGTTTTCCACCTGGCTTGAATCCTAATTTTTTTTCTAATCTTTTTATTTCCCAGTCATATTCATCATCATCATCATCATCATCATCATCATCATCATCATCATCATCATCATCATCATGATTAACTGTTGACGATAATCTAGCTACGTTTACATTTGAAGACTCTTCTATCTTTATTTTATTATTATTAGTTTGAAAATTATCATCATCATCATTATCATCCTCTATTAGCAATGCTTGATTATCATCAGTCTTTTGTCGTTTTGTTGGTCTGTTTGCCAATTTTTTTGATGATTGAACAATTGATTGGTTTGCTGATTGATTTTTTGGCAATTGGGTTTTTTGCTGGCTTTTTTGTTGACTTTTTTGTTGGTTAGCTGATTGATTAGTTGGTTGGTTACTTAATTGATTATTTAATTTTTTTGATAATTGGTTTTTTTTTGGTTGATTTATTTCTTCTTTTTCTTTCTCCTCTCCTAACTTTGTAATTTTAAGAATCAGCCTTTATTCATATAAAATTAGGAAGAATCCATAAAGCTGATCAAATTCATGTACCTTAAAATTCATTGATTTTTTCCTTTTCTTCATTAAACGATCTTGTTTTCTTTTTTCTTTTCGTTCTTGTATACGGTTTTTGAACCGTTTTTGGGGTCTTTTTTTGCCAAATTCATTGACTGCATATATAAATAAACAACTAATTGATTAGTTGAACCTTTTTGAGGATCTAATCAAGCTTGAAAACGATTAATTATTCTTCTCACTATTTTGCTTTAATTCTTCTTTAAATGAAGTTGGGAGTTTTAATGTGTCGCCTTTTCTTCTTGTTTTTGGGGGCATTATTTATTTTGAAAAATGTTTTTTTGAACGTTTTTTTTTTTAAAAATAAATGGTTTTCTATAAAAGTCTTTGATCTGCATACAATTTTATTTTGATAATCTTTTTTACACTTTTTTTCTTTATAAATAAATTTATATTTTTTTCAATGATTTCTACTTTACGAGCAAGCAAATATTGTCATTTGCCATTTTATTCACGACATTTTTTATTACATGATCGATCAACAAGTATAAACCCCATATCTCAAATTTTCATATTAAGTCATAATTATGCTATTGGCACGAAAAAAACTGCAGCAACTTCAAAAAGTAGTAATAGTCCAAAGAAAATATCAAAAAAAGAACTTACAAAGAAACCTGTTAAGAAAAGGCAAGAATTAATGACTATCGATAAATTAGAAAAACTGTCAGATGAATTGTTAAAGACTCTTTGGGCAGAAAAGAAAACATTAGCAAAAGATTTGATGACAGAAAAGGTAGAGTGTGCAGCGTCATGGCAAGATATTGAACAATTTCGACCAAATGTTAAAGAATTAGAAAGTAAAAGTTTTCAAATATTAGCAGAAAAACTTAATCGTTCATTTTTGGTTTCACATTTTTCAAATTATTTGAGAGCTAATCAACAAAGTGCGGGAGGAACTAAAGAAAAATTGATAGAAAGAGTAATTGAACATATCTGGCAAATCAAAAAAATTATTCCTGATCCATCGCTATGCATTATAAAAGAAGGTTAGTTTATACGAATTTCTATAAATGTTTTTCATATTTATATATTTATATTAATTTTCTAAATTATCGGATCATCAAAGATGTGATATCAAATCCTGTTGATATTTATTTTATTCTTGGGCAAGGTTAAATCATCAATGTTTTTTTAATTCCAAGTTTTATGTATTTAGTAAATACATGATTATTTACATTAGGATTTTTTTTTTAATAGATGGAGTTACTCTAGATCAACTAGAAAAGGGAACTGACACCAAAATCAATGTCAATACTAATCCACATTCTTACACAATATATGGCACAAAAAACAATATTTTAAAAGCTAAAGAAGAAATTAAAGGAATAACGGTATATCTAGATTGTAATGAGTTAAAATTATATAAATCATTCATGCTTTATATATTTATAATCTATATTTTTATAAATAATATTAATGTTTTGTTTTTCAACTGGGGGAAAATTTAATAATGGAAAAATAGGAATATAAAAATTTAATCTTAAAACTTCCCGAGAATATCAAAAACTCAATTAAAAGCTTGGATGAAATACCATACATACAAGATATTTGTGAAGTAACTCAAACATATATTGAACTTAATAAAAATAACCAGGTTGGATTACTTATTTAACAATTACGGAATTGATTATCTTATTTCCATAAAATTATTTAAAAAATGGGAAAAAATATATTATTTTTTCTTCTTTGGTAAACTGGAATTAAAGTTAATTATATATGGTCGAAATGATATTAATATATCAGAAGCCAGTAGATTACTGAATATTGCTTGGAAAAAGGTAATCAATTATATTTTGCAAACTATAATCTTTTAAAGCATTCATTGTATAATAATAATTCCTAACGATAATAATAATATTATAGTCAGATCAAAGTGAAGCACAAGTTGTATTAATTAACCCGAGTAACGATAAATTATCCGAGCATTTATTTTTACCTATTCATGACGATGATCCGATACCAAATTACCATAGAAATATGAATTGGTATCGTGTTGATAAAACTAAAATTAAGGTAAATATTAGTGTGGCATGGTTTGAATGAAGATTGTTCAAAAAATTTTTACAACTTGATACAGTTTGATATGAACATTTGTGTTTACCAAATCATAGACTGAAGCATTGATTTATGGTAGGGTGATGATGAGTTTATATTAGACGACCAAGATTTATTAGATTCTAAATTAAGCATCTTATATGAAAATGAAAGGCATGAAATGTTAATTATTTGATTTTTGCAATCGTATTTCGAATATATATATACATATATATTAATTTTTATTTGTTTTATTCAGATTTTTAAAAGAACCTTTATGGGCAACACTTAATTCAAATAATAATAATGAAGAATCAAAAATCACCAGTTTTAAAAAATTGGGTGAATTTTTTAGAAGCTATATGAAAGAAGGTTCGACTTCAAATTCACGACTTGAGTTATATGCAATGTAAGGTTCTTTATTTGAAAAAAAAAATTTAATTACAAATTGAAATTAAAAATTCTTTTGTTATTGAATAGTTTTGGATATATATTATTCCATGAAAATTCAAATCACAATAATAATAATTTATTTATGCCACCAATATCTGAGTCCTTTAATATTTCAAGATTTCAGGAATGGGTTTCACAAAAAAATCCTACAAAAATATTTCTTCCAAGGTAATTATGGAATTATTATTATTATTATTATTATTATTATTGACATTAACATTAATTTGGCAATGATTATTTTATATTTATATATATAATATTATATTTATATTTCAAAGTTATCCTCATACAGATTTCTTGGAATCATTGAATAAATTAACAAAAAATCAAACAACCGTACAGCTAGATTATGCACCATCCGAAATATCCAATCAATCTTTATCTTATGCGACAACCCATAGACTGAGCGTACTATTTGACGTTGTTGATGATGATTTGAAAATCAAGGATTTCATTATGTCTAGAAGACGTCTTTTTATGGACACATTAATGATGGATCGGTACGAATATTTTTTTAATATTATATTGCCAAGATGCATTCTTGTTAATTATGAAATCATTACGAATAATAAACTTTTACGTATAGCTTAAAAGATTTTCGACTTGTATCAGCTTTGAATAATTCTCTACTTGGATTTCAAGATGTTACAGAATTTTCTAATCAATGTAAATTAAAAAGGTATGAAGCAATCTAAAATCAATAAGCTTTATATATGAATATTATTATTAATAATAAAATTATTAAAAAAATCATTTCAAAAATTTTTGTTAAAATAAATCAGTTTACAAAATATATTATGTCCAAAAAAATATTATATTACTTTAAATCGTGACAATGATAACAAGGTAACTATTCCATATGAGTTGGAACGAGCTTCAATAAATATCATTGACTATTATGATTATAAAGGTTTTATCCTGTCAACAAGAAAAATTTTCGAGAAAGAGTCTGATCTTGCTAGAACAGAAATTAGAGTAAGTGCATTATTGTTGTTGTTGTTGTTGTTGTTATTATTATTGGTTAAGATTTTTTATTGTCAGGGTTATAAACTAATGATAATACATACATACATACATAAAATTAGTTGCTTTATAAACCATCATCATTAATAATAGAACAAAATGATCGTGATAGTCAAGAGGTGCAACAATTGGCGGGGCAGGAACAATCGGTGAAGGAACAAGTGGAGCAGACGGAACAGCCGATAGCCAATGAATTAAATAACAAATCTTCGGAAGAAAATAATGAAAGCAATGGTTCAGATAAAAATTTAATACCACCTAATAATTCCGAAATAAATGAAATAAATAAATATTTGGAAGATCCAGAAACTTGGGAGAATTATATTTTAACCACGTTAGATATTGCCAACAAATTAAAATCTTAGTATTAATATAATTAAAAAAATTTGATTTTTTTTGTTATTATATTTAATAATTAATTTATCTGTCTATATATATATATCATACATGCTATTTTAAAGAAAGTATATATGTATTTTATAAAAAATAAAATCAACCTAAATTTTATTTCTATCGACCATAATTCCTTGTCGCTTTTCTTGTCTTTCGGTTTCCTTTTTTTTTGACTTATTGGGATCGTTATTATTTTTATTATCATTATTGCTTTTATTGTTTTTGCTGTTAGATGACACGTTTTTTTGTTGATTTGTATTTGCTTTATTATTATTATTCCTTGTTGTCTCTCCTGGTGATTTATTACTATTATTATTATTACCAGGTTCAAAACCCATTTCTCGATAAACGAAGCAACTATGCAATTTTCGTTGTTCATATTCCCATCCTTGCAACGATTTCAAGATTACTTTACTTTGATCAAAAAATCCTTTATTATTAGTCGACTCCTCAGAAATTTTCTCCTCGGAAACTTTACGAGTTTCGCCCCATGAAAAATCATCGAAATGCCAATATGCATAAACTGGCAATAATAAATTCCAAATGGGTAGTGTGATTAAATATACTAAAAAAAGAATAATATAATTAATTAAATTTAAATTAAATTCGCGCTATAACGGATACTTTTCACATATAAAAATCCGTTATGATTTTGGCATAAATAGTGATAGTGATTACTCAAAACACACTTTTTGAGATCAAAGATTTTAATAATGATTTTTTAGTATTTATCATCATCTAATTTTATATATATAGAGTAATCTTGGGTATTTACCATGGTAACTATTCCAATTCTTTTTTTACCACGGTAATAACCCATCACTAGGCATAACGGATTTTAAATGTTTGACCTATGCACCGTTACGGCGAGGTTTGACTATATGTAATTTTTTTTTAACATCAAATGAACGAATAGTGAAAAATAATTAGATTTAGTAAAATAATAGCATGGTGGCAAGGTAAATCGGAAATTTCGTTCATTTCTTCAATTCATTCATCTATTTTTTTTTGGTTTAATTGATTGGTTAAATAACATCAATTTATTATTTTATTGAATAAAATAGAATAAACGTCTTAGCAAAGGAAAAAAAGGATTAAAGAAAAAAATGTGTGTTTTTGAATAATCAATATTTAATAATTAATGTTAATTAATACTTCTTAATGATTAATGCATTGATGGAAAAAAAAAGTTTTTCTAATTTAATCTAATCAATTTTTTTAAATATTTATAATATCATAGTGTTGATCCATTTACTCGTAAAGATTGGTATGATGTGAAAGCTCCATCAATGTTTTTAGTTAGAAATGTTGGTAAAACACTTGTTAACCGTACACAAGGTTTAAGTAAGTAATGCATCGATAATGATTTTTTAGCTTAGCTTTTCAATAAATTGAACCATAATAATTATAACAATTATATAAATATTTATTTATTCATTTAAAATAGAAAATGCTGATGATGCATTAAAAGGTCGTGTGTTTGAAATTTCATTAGCTGATTTAAATCAAGACGAAGAACAAGCTTATAGAAAAATCAAATTAAGAGTGGACGAAGTACAAGATAGAAATTTATTAACAAATTTTCATGGAATGGATTTTACATCTGATAAGCTTAGATCTTTGGTCAGAAAATGGCAGGTAAAATATATATATAAAAAAAAGATTTTCTGCTTATATACATCTATTTTTGGCATTACTAATCAAATAATTCAATTTTTATTTAATTATTTATTTATTTATTTTGTTTACCTATTAAAAATCATTTTAGACTTTGATTGAAGCACATGTTGATGTCAAGACAACAGATGGATATTTACTTCGTTTATTTGCAATTGCTTTCACAAAAAGGCGACCAAATCAAATTCGTAAAACCACATATGCACAAACTTCACAAATTCGTCAAATTCGTAAAAAAATGTTTGACATTATGACTGCTCAGGCTACTAGTGCAGATTTGAAAGGTTTAGTAGAAAAATTTGTACCTGAATCAATTGGTCTTGAAATTACAAAAGCTTGCCAAGGAATTTATCCTCTTCAACATGTAAGCATTTATTATTACTATTATTATTTGAAATATGTATTTTTATATATTTTAACAAATAAAAAAAACCTCCCAAAAAAATTTTTTTTATAATATAGGCTTATATTCGTAAAGTAAAAATTCTTAAAAGTCCTAAATTTGATGTACAAAAATTAATGGAATTACATGGTGATAGTGCTGATACTGGTTCTAAAATAGGTGCTAAAGATTTCAAAGAACCAGAAGTTCAAGAATCAGTATAAAGAAAGACTTTTTTGATTGTTTAACTATAATTTTGTTAATACATATTTATTATGATATATATTTTGCAATATTGGTAGCAATTAATATATTTAATTAATAAAAAAATTTATACACAATTAATAAAGAAAAAAAAGGAAATAGTTCTTAGAATTGTTTATTAAAAGTAAAATAAAATAAAAAATATATATAAAAAATATTATTATTATTATGAAAAAAAAAATTATGATATGTATTTTTATGTCCTTTTTTTTTAAAAAAAAAACAAATGATTAATATAAAATAATATAAAATAATTATCAAAAATCTTTATAAAATAAAATATTCACATAATAATTAATGCAATAATAGGTTTTGACAAATAATTAATAAATGTACCTGTTTGCCATAATTACTACTACCACTATACTACATCATAATTCTTCCACATCCTAATTACTATTAATATTTTAATCCATATCCACCACAATGATTAATTACCCAAAACATCAAGAAGATCTTACAGCAAAGAAAAAACATCATATTTTAATGCACAAAATCAATTTTTTGATAATATAAAACCTAGCAACAAAAAGGATAAAAATAAATAAATAAATAAATCATCATCAAACAAAATAGTTTTCTTAATTTTGATTCCAGTATTGACTACGATTTCTGGCACCTTGATGATGTGCTTGATGAGGGTGGTATTGATGGTTTTGTAGATATTGATAACTATTAAACACTTGTTGAGCTTGTTGTTGACTATAATAATTGGGAGTGCTAGATTGTTGTTGATGCTGTATTGCACCAGATTGACCAACCCCCGAAGACTGTTGTTGGCCTGATGCAGAAGTTTTATCCTGATAAGATTTGTATTGGCCTTGAGGATTCAAGTCTGAATTATTGTTACCAGTCTTTGATGATGTAGTGGTATTTGATCCACCTGATGCAGAGGAAGGTTGTGGATTGCTATTAACACCTCCTGCATTACCCAAGAAATTAATTGGTGGCATACCACTGCCTCCTCCATAAGTTTTCTGATAATTGTGAACATTAGGCACTGCACCAGGAAGATGATGTATCAGAGGAGACATTTCATCATATCTGGTGTTTGAGTAATGAGGTGTGCTGGGAGTAGTAGGGGTCGTGGGGTAACCATAAGGTGATGCACCTGATGCCAATCCACATTGATTTATTTACATTTACTAACAGTTGGTCATAACCAGATTGCTGATAGGCAGAAGGAAATTGGTTTGTCATATAGTAGTACAGATGAAAATATGGTACACTAACAGGATATGTTTGTTGTTGTTGTGGATTTTGATTTTGTTGATTAGTGGATTGTTGTGTTCCTGTTGTTTGTTGACTGACAGATTGTGTGGATGATGAATTGCTAGGTGTTTCTTGTGAATACTTGTCTCTTCCTTGAAATCCACCTACTGAAGATGTAACGAGCAAGGCTTGTGGATATGAAGGGTCTGCATAATATCCCTATTAATAATATTGTTGTTAGCATTAAAGTTAAAGGTTTATTTATTAATTTATCAATTACCATACATATAAATATATATATTAATTAATTGATCAGTAAATTTACCATTACTCCTCGCTGAGCTTCAGCAGGATATAATGTAGCATAATTAGGTTGAATGGGTCCAATACCAAATTGTGACAATTGATTTGGTGGTTGGTTTATGTAAGAAGTGTAGGGAGAAATTATTGGCTCTATTCCTCCCAAATGATGTTGATTTAAATATGCAGTAGCAGCAGAGTTGTTCTTGTTGTTCTTTCAAGTATGAAGCATTGTAATTTTGTGATGTTTGATTTGAAGCATTTGTTGGCACACTTGATGGTGCACTGCTGTTGATGGATGATGGTTGTTGTTGTTGTGTGGATGAGGTGGATGAGGTAGATGAGCTGGATGTAGGTAGGCGATTAATAGAAGTTGGCTGAGACAATGAATTAGAAGAATGTGTTTGTACTTGTGTAGTTTGTTGCTGCTGTTGATTGGAGGTTTGTTGTAGTAATTGTATTTGAACCACTTGTAATTGTTTGTTGTTGATGTGTTTGTTGTTGCTGATGTAATTGCTGTTGCTGTTTCTGTTGCTGATGTAACTGTTGTTGCTGTTGTAACTGCTGTTGTTGTGTAACTTGTTGTTGAGCTGGTAAAGTAATTTGATGGTGGTTAAGTGGTTGTTGGGATTGCTGTTGTGGTGGCAGAGATTGTGATTGTTGAGTTTCAACAACTGTAGAAGAATTAGAAAGTTCATCTTGATGGGCAAGAGACGAAAGATCATTTTTGACCATTTCTACCTGTTTCTCAGAAGTTTCCAATAAACTTAAACTACCAAATTGAACACTGACTCTTTTTACACCAGTTCCATTAGTAGGCATTAGGGATGGGGCAGTTCGGTTCAGTTCGGCTTCAGTTCGGCTTCAGTTCAGCGAAACTGGTTTGGTGTAACCAGTTTAGTATAGTGCAAGACTCATAGGCAGAAGTTTGTCTGATTGGCTAATTTTGCCGATCAATTTCAATTGAGTTCGCATATTATTTATATAGTTTAAAGTACTTTTTAAGGTTTTTAAGAATACAACGTTTCACT